AGTTACCCCTTCAGTGAATGCTTTCCAAAAAKACCAGTCCGTGTAAGATTTGTTCAAATATGTATATTGCCTGCCCTTATGKGGTCGTAGCTGATATATTATGCGAGCAAGTAAATTTAAATTCATTATCATGTGAGTCCCGTACGTTTCTGTAGTGATCTTAATATTCTCTCAGCTTAAATAACAGACTCTCTTCTCTAATTGGGTAACCTGTTAAATACATATATGCTTAAAGTTAAGCTTTCTTCCATTAAAAATACATACTTGAAATTATAAAATGAAGTAAATTCTAAAGCAAATACTACACATACACACTACTTGTGGAACTAATTTCATGAGTGTATGTGCAAATATATTATAATGAGTATAATAAGTGAAGCATAAATTACTGAAACAAAAGAGTTTGCAGAGCTCATAAATGAGTGTTATGAAAGCATTACATATTTACAGCTATATTTGTATTTATGTATATAAACCARGATGTACATATATAATATATAACTATGTACTTGCAACAAGTTGTTGTGAGGTTTCCATGAAAACAAAAGAATGCTCCGAGAATGTGSTAAACTGGAGAAGAATTGCATGAGTGTAAATTGAATTTCAATGTTCAACTAGTTAGTGCCCTAAGAGAAAATAACAACCGCAAGAAACAACAACAAAATAATAAAATACTGGCAATGTTACATGGTGTTAATAAAACCAATTTACTTTCACCGCATAAAGACAAGAGTGTGTGTGCAATAGACGCAGTGAAGGCAAGAAACTAAGTAAGAGGCTTTGTGTTATAACTGTGTAGAAAGCATATATTTAGTGTATAGATATATAGTATACTTATTCCGCAAAGAAATTCTTCCTGTTTTRGCGATACTTTTTATCTATTTCTTATACGCCACACATATGTGTTTATATTTATATATATATCTTTTTTCTATATAGTTATATATAAGTCTATATATACATTTGTAGGTTTTTTTCACTGCTTGCCAAATAATCGATGCTAAGCACGTTTTCACTTACAAGCTATTTGRCTGCCTTTAGGCTTAATTTCTACTTAACTCCGTATGTAGATGAGTGTCTATATGTAAATATGGGTGCTAGTACATAAATCTACTATATTCATAATATGTACATRAGCATGTTGCCGTAAATCCTTGCTTGTTTGTTAAACAAGTTGCTCTCACTTGGCTTATAGGTTACTCATACGCCACGGTCGCACCTCAGGATAACTACCTGATTTGTGCATTCYCAATGGAATTTAGTTACAAAAAATTTAAGGGCTGAGTTTTCTATTTTATTACAATAAATTGAAATTACAACAACAGAAAAATCCAGAATATCGTTTCCTATTCGAAAATCGGATTTTTTCGTTTTTGTTGATTTTTACATCTAAAAAGATAACGAAGAAAACAAATGCGAAAACAAATTAGAGCCGATTTTAACACTATACTCACGCTCCAGTAGTTCAACTAATACTGTGTTTCCATATATTCCATACACCATTGCATACAGATATGTTGGTGAAATCTCCGCGATACARTCGCCAAGCACCTCAATCCGTCAGCAGCGCGCAAAAAATCGGTGAACTTGCATTCCGAAACTGTGTTGCGTTTTTAAAGCTTCAACGCGTTTGGCGCAAACGCAAATTGGCTTCATTGTGAGTTAAAAGCGACGTTAGACAACTGCTAATGACCGACGAATGGCGCACAGCTGATGCAAATACGTGCACATGCACATATCTGCATAGACGTGAACAAGTAGAACAAGCTGTGTATTTTGACTTTCACCTCCTAAAAAAAAAAAACAAAAAAAAAAAAAAACAATTTCGGGTATAGATTGTATGTCACGTATGCCTTGTGCTACTGACAATGCTTTTTGCCATTTTCTTTCGTTTTTTATGAACTTCATTGCATACAAATTGCAAGTGTTAGTTCAAGTACAATGCTTGCCAATAWGAAAGAGAAGAGAATGTGAGTGTGATGTGAGTGAGAAAGAGAAGTGAATTCTGTGCGTAGCCCCTACCCTGTCCTACCTACTTTGTTAGACAACAGATCTATTCCAGTAAGTGTAAACTGCCATATCGTCCACCTTTCAAATAAAAACAATAAGTTTAACCTATAAACTATAATACTACACTAGCTCTGAAACTTTCCATCTTTAATTAAAGTAAAWTAACTTTTTGCGAGCGTAAAAGAGCAAATAGAGTACATCGAAGAAGAAGAGAAGACGCAACCTGGCAAACTATAATATCAGTTTCAACCAATTAAAAACATAGCAAGGATATTGTGCAGAAAGAAAACTAAATTGCGWAAGCAACGCAACACCTTGTGTTTATTTAATTAAACTCTTACTTTGTGCCGTGGCCTTAGCAGATAATGCAATGTGAAAGTTTATAGTGTGGACATTCGTTTTGCACGCAAAAATTATATTAAAATTTTATGTCGAGAAAATATGAAACAATATAAGCAACTAAAATTGAATAGTTCAAGCTTAATTTTATTAAATGTATGCAGTGCATGTGCTTTGTGGATATTGTAGCCAACTTGGAGTTTTATAGGCAGATTGATATTTTTTTATATTTATAGAACAGTAAGTAAATTAAAATTTTTTCAATTACCTTTATATGATACGAACATACTGGTGAAATAGTGTATCCAATATATACATAAATAAGCGGCAACCCT